TAAATAGCATGTATCCAATCGAACCATGTTCAATCGTGTGCAAAGTAACGACAAAAGTAACTGTAAATTTCGTTACCGTTACCCAAAAAATGTAACTCGTTACCGTTACAGTTACCAAAAAAAGAAAGTAACGCAGTTACCAGTAAAGTTACCAAAAAAGTAACTTGTGACTGTAACTTCGTTACAAGTAACGAGTTACTTCCATTCCCTGCTTATTACTTACTTAATTTTAATGAAATTTATCATTTGTATAAAAGATTTGATACCAATAGTCGTCGCCAAGTTATTCTACCTCATTACTTATTTAATTTTAATGACATTCATCATTTGTATACAAGATTTGATATCAACAGTCGGCGCCAAGTTAAATTCTACCAAATTAAAGAGTAAAACACAAGTGGTACGTTTAATCTTTAAGAACCCATATAGTACTATTATTAAATTCTACTAAATTAAAAAGTAAAACCCATGAGGTACTATCTTTATCTTCATACAATGAAACCTAAGTATATGCCTTTGTATTCTTAATAAAAGATCTTCCTATTCGAAACCTAGATTCAATTCTTCTTTAAAAAAATTATATCACAATTAATTTAAAAACAAAATGAAAAAAATTTATTTAAATAGAAAAATTTTTTATGTAAAAGCACTTCGCGCTGCTTGTTCTCGATCACGATGTAATAAAATACAATAATAAAAATAAGAAACATTTTCACGAGAATTAAAGTATTTAGTGTGTATATATTCGTGTATATGTATGTGCGAGTGAATTCTATCTCAATCGCAATATAAAAACGTCATAATAAAATTATATATGGATGAAACATTTAGTATAAAAGAGATTAGAAGCTACGAGAGTTAAAGTATGCAGTCTATATGTATATTCGCGTAGAAAATATGCGAGTGAATTGCATAAAAAAAGAAAAGTAAGCTGTATACTTATTAAATGTAACATTTAAAATATGTTTACCATAATTTTTAAATTATCATTACTTTTACATACATTTGTATTAACTATTATAGCTTTTAGATAGTGTTCCGGAATTATCGTTACTTTTAAATATTCTCCGAGACGAGAGTCAATAGCTCGTCGACAGCACGCGTGTATCTCGCTCTTGTTCTAACCACGCTGTCTATCTCAAATGGCACGCGACCCCCTTGCGCGACACACGAAATTACTGTCTATCGCGCATACGTTTCGCGTGCGTGAGTTCAGTTCGCTTCCCGATCCAGATCGATACGGATCAAAAGCCTCTATAGTCCTCTTTCGAATTTGAATCAGAGCCTTAACCGAAGTGAACTAAGCCGAATCGTCGCAACCCGCCACCTCGTTGCCGTCTCGCATAAGATTAGCGAGATAGGCGTACTATAACACGAATAAGTGCGCGAAATCACTTGTGTCACCGAAGAATAGAATCGGTCTCGTCATTGCGCTCCATGTACATTCCGTTCGCGTTGATATAAAATACGGGACGTTGCTCAGAGTGAATTACCGGTGCACATAGTTAACCAAGTGCATAAACTGTGATTGTGAGATTTACGAATATCGCCCGCTTCGAACGTTGGCTCTTGTTCTTTCGACTTTAGTAATTTTATGAGTTCAATTAATAAACAATCATTCTTAAACCAACGAGAATCGTCGTCATTACAAGCCGCCTTGGCGTGCGGACCTTCCATTACAAGGTGACACCAGCTTCACAAACACAAATACAAACATATTTCGTCCTTCGAGCCGGATTCGTCGCCAAGGAGAGTTATTGTTTTCGTTTGATTCTCGAACTTTCGGATTTTTTCGTTTGCATTGCAAATCATCTCGTCTCTCGACGAATTGATGAGTCTACAAAACCTGGAGATGGGTGTCATATCTCGCACACTCACTAACTTTAAGAAGCTGGGACAGGCCAAGATGACACGTGCCGTAACGCGACAATCCATTCTTTCGACCATCGCCAAGTTCTTCGATCCCTTAGGATGGGCTACTCCCGTCATTATCACCGCAAAAATTTTTATGCAGCGATTGTGGTCACTCCAATGCCAATGGGATGACGAAATTCCCAGCCAACTTTTCGAGTCCTAGTCAGATTACCATAACCGACTTCCGTGTCTCAACGCCATTAACATTCCGCGCTGGACTACATACGGATCTCATACGCTACAATGCGCCCTGCACGGGTTTTCCGACGCTTCGACAGCAGCTTTCGTGGCTGCAGTTTATCTTCGTCTGTCAATGTAGACGGCTCAATTACCGTCTCGCTTCTCGTTTAATGACAATTTCGGCATCGCGTGGAATATTCTCGTTTCTCGATATGATAATAAACGTCGCCTTATTACTACACATTTACAATCGCTTTTCAATTTACCGTCGCTCGCGACAGAAACCTCCAAAGATCTTCGCACGCTCCGCGATCAAACCAATAAAGCGATACAAGCTCTAAGCAATCTCGGTCGCGCAACCGAACATTGGGATGATTGGCTTGTTTTTCTCGTATCACAAAAACTCGACAAGTCATCGCGAAAAGCTTGGGAACTTAAACTCGGCGATACAGTAGAATACCCGCGTTATCGCGAGCTTGATCAATTTCTTGCATCGCGCATTCGCGCTCTCGACGCGATTGCACCCGCAACCTCATCGGAGAAGTCACCGACGACCTCCAAAAAGAAAACTCTCGCGTCACATACCGCATCTACCGTTCCGTTCTCATGCGCATTATGCAAAGCGAACCATCTACTGTATCAATGCTCTACGTTCCTCAAGCAAACTCCATCCCAACGTTTTGAATTTATTAAAAACCAGAAACGCTGTGTAAATTGTTTCAGTGCGAAACATTCAGTGAAAGAGTGTACGAATACTCGCGCGTGTCGACAGTGTAGCAAACGGCATTACACGTTGCTGCATTTCGACAATTCCGCTCAACCAGTCGACGCGAAGTCGCCGTCGACGTCCGCACCCACGAGTACCGAGAGCGTCACCGTCGTCGCTACACATTTATTGTCGAAAGCCGTAGCGCCGAGCTTCAAAATCTTACTCGCGACAGCGCGCGTGCGAGTTTATTCACCGCAGAACCGTTTCGTCACCGTTCGTGCGCTCCTTGATCAAGGATCCGTCTCTACGTTCATCTCTGAATCGCTCGCTAAACGCCTATGCCTTGCAAGAATCAATCGTTCTGTTTTACTTACTGGCATTAATGAAATGCGATCTGTCGTGCGTCACGCGGCCCATATTACGATTACCCCGGTGTGTCGCGACGGACCTGCCTATACCACGACCGCATTGATACTTTGGTCATTAACGAAATATTTGCCGAATCGAGTCGATACCGCGCATAATTGGAAACACGTCGCAGGACTCGAGCTTGCCGATCGTGACCCCATGAGTTCGGATCCAATCGACATCATTATCGGTGCCGATCTCTTCGGCATGCTCGTTCTCGGTGGTGTCCGAAAGGGCTCCGAACACGAGCCGATCGCGCAAAATACCACTCTGGGCTGGATTCTGTCTGGACCAGTAGCCTCGTTGTCTCATACTGACTCAGTTTCCGCTCTGGCGCATCACGGAGTCGTCCTCGAGACTCTAGATTGCGAGCTTTTGGGAGATTGAGGAAGTGCCTCAGAAAGCAGCTCGAAGCCCTGAGGATCACCAGTGCGAAGAGCACTTTAAAGCCACGCATTCTCGTACGCCGGAAGGACGGTATATCGTTCGATTACCGTTTAAAATCGGACCACCAATCTCGATAGGCGAATCGCGCTCTATTGCCGTTTCAAGCTTTCGCCACTTGGAACAACGCTTAAATCGAAACCCAATCATCGCATCCGAGTATCACGAATTTCTCGCAGAGTACGAAACCCTCGGTCACATGACCAAAAGCCCACCGACAGAAATTGTCAAACCAGAGCAAGCTTATTATATTCCACATCACGCTGTCCTACGTGATAGCAGTGCGACCACGCGCTTACGAGTAGTGTTCAACGCGTCATGCCGCACGTCAGACGGAACGTCGTTGAATGACCATATGCTCATAGGCCCCAAGCTTCAACGGGATTTAGCCACTGTCATAATGCAGTGGCGCCAATACCGTTACGTGTTTACCGCCGATATCGCCAAAATGTATCGGCAAATCTTACAAGGGGAGGGCACATCCAGCATATCGCCAATTGAGATGAAAAAAATTCAGGTGATTCTTTGAACAAAAAAAACGAATGCGTGTTTTGGGATTTTTCGAGATAGGGCCCTGATCGGTAAAAAAAAAAAATTTAATGTAAGTAAAAATACGACATTCATAATTAATTTAATTACAAAAATTATTTCTTATTTTTCATTATGTACATTAGATTTTGACCGTTATATTATATAATATAATATAATATTATTTTATAGAGAATTTCTACCAGGGTAACAGTAAATTAATTTAAATTTAAATTTATCGAGGTTAATTTAATGTTATCAACATACACATGAAATTACAATATGAAATGGTTAAAGTAACCAATATTAAAAATAAATGGAACATTATTAATAGTTGAAGAAATTATTGATTGAAGTAGACAATCTAGATTTTTAAAGATAGAATTGGTTGGTATCACATACGTAATATATGTGTAAATAACGGAAATTAAAATATGTAAGTTTTACAATAACAACAATCGTACGACAATTATATTCTACGAGATCTGTACATTTGAAGAATACGTACTTGGGTGATATTCGTCGTAAAAGCATGAAAAACAAAAGAATAGACGACACCTCTGTTTTGATTGCTATGTGTTTCAAATTAATTATGAATGTCGTATTTTTACTTACATTAAATTTTTTTTTTTACCGATCAGGGCCCTATCTCGAAAAATCCCAAAACACGCATTCGTTTTTTTTGTTCAAAGAATCACCTGAATTTTTTTCATCTCAATTGGCGATATGCTGGATGTGCCCTCCCCTTGTTAGTTAACTCCCAAGATACCGACTACCAGCGCATTGTATGGCAATCTACTCCTGACGACCCAATCTCCGATTACCGCCTTCTCACCGTTACCTACGGTACAGCCGCCGCTCCCTATTTAGCCCTTCGCGTTTTAGATCAGCTCGTCGAAGATGACGGTGCTGAATTTCCACTGGCTGTTCCCGTCTTACGTCATCAGACGTATGTTGATGATTGCATTTTCGGCGCAGACGACCAGGTTCTAGCTCGTCAAACCCGCGATCAATTGATTGAATTGTTAAAGCAAGGAGGCTTTCGCCTTCGAAAATGGGCAAGCAACGCCACCGCTTTATTGTCCGATCTCGATCCCGCGGATCACGGACTCGCTACTCACAAGGTTCTTCAAAACGACGAGCACCTCAAGGTCTTAGGAGTTTTTTGGAATCCGAAGCTAGATGTCTTTCAATTCCGCGTTATCGCGCCGGCGTCATCCGGCCGGACAAAACGAGCCATTCTTTCGACCATCGCCAAGTTCTTCGATCCCTTAGGATGGGCTACTCCCGTCATTATCACCGCAAAAATTTTTATGCAGCGATTGTGGTCACTCCAATGCCAATGAGATGACGAAATTCCCAGCCAACTTTTCGAGTCCTGGTCAGATTACCATAACCGACTTCCGTGTCTCAACGCCATTAACATTCCGCGCTGGACTACATACGGATCTCATACGCTACAATGCGCCCTGCACGGGTTTTCCGACGCTTCGACAGCAGCTTTCGTGGCTGCAGTTTATCTTCGTCTGTCAATGTAGACGGCTCAATTACCGTCTCGCTTCTCGTCGCCAAATCAAAAGTGGCCCCGCTCAAAACGATAAGTGTCCCACGCTTAGAATTATCCGCCGCGTTGCTTCTCGCGCGCTTAATGCATTTCGCGCGCTCAGCGCTTCAACTCCCCAAGCTCGAGTGCCACTGCTGGACGGACTCTACCGTCACACTCGCATGGCTGAATCAATCACCTTCCCGATGGAAAACCTTTGTCGCCAATCGAGTTTCAGCTGTGCAGTCACTCCTCCCAGGAGTTTCATGGCGTCATGTTCCCACGCACACCAATCCCGCGGACTGCGCCTCGCACGGTCTCGCTCCAGATCATCTCGAAACACATGACTTGTGGTGGTCAGGCCCTCAATGGCTACACCACCCTCCCGAATCTTAGCCGACCTCGAGCCCCTTGGTACCCACCGAGATTCCTCTCGAGCAACGTCAGGAACCATCAGCATGTACGTTGCATACTATGCCCGAGTGGGATCTCTCATCACGTTATTCGTCATGGCCAAAACTGCTACGAATCACCGCGTATCTATACCGGTTTCTAAAACTACGTCGACGTTCAAAAAACTCACAAGCGAATACCGCGATTTTGCTCTCCGAAGAAATTCAGAACGCCAAACGTTACTGGTTCAAAACCATGCAGTCAGACATGTTTTTTAACGAAATCGTTGCACTTCAACAAAAACACGCGGTGTCGAAAAGCAGCCCGCTATCTATTCTAAATCCTTATATGGACGAGGACGGACTCATTCGAATTCGAGGAAGACTCCGTCGAGCTTGCCTCCCAGGAGCGACGAAGAATCCTATCGTCTTACGCGCGCATCCGCTACTGGTGCTCATTATCCAGCATCATCATCTAAGAACGTTGCATGCCGGTTCGCAATTAACGCTCTCGTCATTGCGAAACGAATTTTGGATTCTCCGAGCTCGCGCCACCGTTCGATCCGTTCTATACAAATGCATACCATGTACGCGTGAACGCGCCGCCGTGCCCGTCGAACTCATGGGTGACCTCCCGGCAGCGAGAGTCAACCGCACCGTTCGCGCCTTTATTCATACCGGCGTCGATTATGCAGGTCCGATCGCTGTCCGTACGGCGTCCGGTCGAGGGCATAAATCACAAAAGGCGTATATCGCGTTGTTCGTATGCTTCACAACCAAAGCTCTGCATTTGAGCTCGTAAGCGATTACACCTCTCCTACGTTTATCGCAGCGTATCAACGCTTCGTTTCTCGCCGAGGATTACCGACGTCCATGTACTCCGACAACGGAACCACATTTCACGGCGCCGATCGCGAACTTTCAAGCGCACATGCCGCTGCAATACGCGATCCTAATTTCCGTAACCGACTCGCTTCCGACGGAACTGCGTGGCACTTCCTACCTCCCGCGTCGCCACACTTCGGTGGTCTGTGGGAGGCCGGCGTTAAAAGCGTTAAGCATCATTTAAAACGATGCATCGGCCTCCACACGCTAACTTTCGAGGAGATGTCTACGCTCCTATGTCGAATCGAAGCGTGCCTTAATTCGCGTCCGATCGCGCCCGTTTCCGATAATATCGACGACTATCACGCTCTGACTCCCGGTCATTTTTTGATCGGAACCTCTCTTATCGCTCCTGCCGAACCAAGCGTGCTTGACTTAAGCGAAAATCGACTGTCGCGTTGGCAGATGGTTCAACAAATGACCGAAGGTTTTTGGTGGTCTTGGTCTGGTGACTACTTGCATACCCTTCAATAACGCCCAAAATGGCGCGTTGTCCAGCGACTGGCCAAAGTTGATCAGATCGTCCTAGTGCGTAATCCTCTGGCTCCACCGAGTCAATGGGAACTTGGCCGAATTACGGCGTGTCATCCAGGCGATGACAATCTAACTCGCGTCGTAACGGTAAAAACAAGTCATTCCGAATATAAGCGACCGATTGCGAAACTCTGTTTCCTACCCGTCACAATTAATAGCGAAGAATCAAAAGATTCCGTCACGGCGAGCGGAGGTTCAGTTGAGAATACCTGATGTTACCAGTATCATGAACCTTAACTTTAATTTTATTGCGTCACGAATTTCGTATTGTATATAAAGCCTTGTTCGTTATTATATCATGATTGTATCCTGCGTGCTTTAATGCAAATCATTTCGAATGTTAACATTCGAGGCGGGCGGTATGTTCCGGAATTATCGTTACTTTTAAATATTCTCCGAGACGAGAGTCAATAGCTCGTCGACAGCACGCGTGTATCTCGCTCTTGTTCTAACCACGCTGTCTATCTCAAATGGCACGCGACCCCCTTGCGCGACACACGAAATTACTGTCTATCGCGCATACGTTTCGCGTGCGTGAGTTCAGTTCGCTTCCCGATCCAGATCGATACGGATCAAAAGCCTCTATAGTCCTCTTTCGAATTTGAATCAGAGCCTTAATCGAAGTGAACTAAGCCGAATCGTCGCAACCCGCCACCTCGTTGCCGTCTCGCATAAGATTAGCGAGATAGGCGTACTATAACACGAATAAGTGCGCGAAATCACTTGTGTCACCGAAGAATAGAATCGGTCTCGTCACTGCGCTCAATGTACATTCCGTTCGCGTTGATATAAAATACGGGACGTTGCTCAGAGTGAATTACCGGTGCACATAGTTAACCAAGTGCATAAACTGTGATTGTGAGATTTACGAATATCGCCCGCTTCGAACGTTGGCTCTTGTTCTTTCGACTTTAGTAATTTTATGAGTTCAATTAATAAACAATCATTCTTAAACCAACGAGAATCGTCGTCATTACACGCCGCCTTGGCGTGCGGACCTTCCATTACAAGGTGACACCAGCTTCACAAACACAAATACAAACAGATAATTTTCATTGTTTTTCTTATTCGCTCCAGCAGCACGAAGTGTTTTTACACAAAAAATTTTTCTATTTAAATAAATTTTTTTCATTTTGTTTATAAAAATTAATTGTGATATAATTTTTTTAAAGAAGGATTAAATCACTTGGTTTCGAATAGGAAAATCTTTTATTAAGAATACAAAGGCATATACTTAGGTTTCATTGTATGAAGATAAACATAGTATAGTTTTCATTGTTTTTCTTATTCGCTCTAGCAGCGCGAAGTGTTTTTACATAAAAAATTTTTCTATTTAAATAAATTTTTTTCATTTTGTTTTTAAATTAATTGTGATATAATTTTTTTAAAGAAGAATTGAATCTAGGTTTCGAATAGGAAGATCTTTTATTAAGAATACAAAGGCATATACTTAGGTTTCATTGTATGAAGATAAAGATAGTACCTCATGGGTTTTACTTTTTAATTTAGTAGAATTTAATAATAGTACTATATGGGTTCTTAAAGATTAAACGTACCACTTGTGTTTTACTCTTTAATTTGGTAGAATTTAACTTGGCGCCGACTGTTGATATCAAATCTTGTATACAAATGATGAATGTCATTAAAATTAAATAAGTAATGAGGTAGAATAACTTGGCGACGACTATTGGTATCAAATCTTTTATACAAATGATAAATTTCATTAAAATTAAGTAAGTAATAAGCAGGGAATGGAAGTAACTCGTTACTTGTAACGAAGTTACAGTCACAAGTTACTTTTTTGGTAACTTTACTGGTAACTGCGTTACTTTCTTTTTTTGGTAACTGTAACGGTAACGAGTTACATTTTTTGGGTAACGGTAACGAAATTTACAGTTACTTTTGTCGTTACTTTGCACACGATTGAACA